AAGGACATTTTTAAAGTCCACTTCAGAACCAGATTGTTCCACCTTCATAATTTCCAATGACTTCTCAATATCTTGCATCATCTGGTCAACAACTTCTTGTGTTTTAGAACCAGACATCTTTTGCTTCTTTACAACATGATCAAATGCGTCCTTGATGGGATTTAGATCCATTTTTCACCTCACGGTCTCACCAGTTTAAGCTTAGAAATAGTTATGTGAAGCCCCTATAAGAAGGTGTCAGAAAAGGGAAGCTCATCACCACTTTTGATTGCAAACAACTCCATGACCCTAGCAACACAAATTAACCTCTCCCAATATACAATCTTCAACTTAATTGGTATTATCTTCAAACCAAAATTCCAATACCTTTCAAACAAGAAAAAACTCGAGTTTGAAGTATCAAAACGTGGAGAAGAGTATTACATTAGTACTTGCTGCTTCTGCAAGAAATGAAAGTAAAGAATAATTTATTTTCATCTACAAGAAACAGCGATTATCAATTTCAAATTAGTAGAACTCCATCGCAAATTCTATTTAAAAGCAGATTGCAAAACAGCTTCAGTCCGTTGCAAAAAACCTCAACACTCAAAAGTATTTGCAACGTATTTCATAATTCCATTGCTAGATTTACCATTACGAATGTTTTTTCAATGGATTTTCTTAATAAACTACAAAAATTCCGATACTTAATTGCTATCAATCAATTGCAAAATCCTGTCACTAATCCATCATTGTACACACAACATAATATATAAATCAATCCATTTACATTAATTCATAAATTTTCCAGGATAATTTAGTGAAAAAAAATAAAGGAACAGTAAAATCGAACGAACAAAAATCCACTTGCACCTTCTACATAACTTTATTAAAAAGAAAAAATCAAACTTTGAAGGTAGTTGAGCAATTTCATGAAAAAAATCAAGAACCCAAAAAAAAACTCACTATAGCAGTGAAACAAGAACAATAAGAAACTGGGTTCTGCCTTAATCGCAAAAATATCAACCATTTTTGCAAGAGTGAACATTCAGCGAGGTCCAAGAAAATCGTAAAAGACAAAACCAAAATGAATAACGTTAAAGAAAAGGAAGAGGAAGGGAGAGGGAGAGAGACATACCTTGGGATGCTGGTGGGTTGGGTGTTAGATTTTGAGAAGTTTGGTCGGAGGCGGGAAGGAGGTAGTTGGCGGGTTCGGCGGCTGTTGGAGTTGAAATAGGGGGCAGATGATAGAATTAATATCTGATCTCTTCTTCAGATCAAATCGGTTATTTTGCAATTTCTTTCAGGGAAAACTACATATTAGTCTAAACATTTACCATGAGTTTCACTTATCGGTCCCTATATTGTTATTATTATTTGCTAGAGGATCCTTTACTCATAATTATTATTATCATCATTATTATTTGATTGTGATGTTTTCTGAGCTAGATTATCTGTATCTTAATTTATTTTATGAATTTTAAAATTAATAATTATATAAATTTTTAATAACTTTAAAATTTATAAAATTCAAATTGATAATTTTTAATAAATAAATTTAGAATCTAAACAATTGAACTATATCTATTAAAATTAGCTCATAACCATTATTATTTTTTATTATAATTTTATACGTTAATTATGTTTGATTTAAAAGTTAATTAAATATAATTTTTTTTAAATCAGCGTAAATTTTGAATAGACTAAACTTTAATAACTTGTAGATTAACTATTGATCTAGTTTACTTTATCAAATTTAAATAAAAACTAATTGGCTCAATTTTAAGAATTTTTAAATTTTTTAAATAATTTTTTTATAAAAAAATTAAAATAATATTATTTCAAATATTTTAATATAAATTCAATTAATTTAGCAAATCTATAATATAGATCGACTAAATTGATACTCTGCGCCAGAGGCCTGTATTATTTTTTCCAGAATGTTTCTGATGCTTGGGATAATTGATCTTGGTTAGCCTTAATGGGTTTCCAGGAAGGCCATCAATTTTGATTCTACGACCTTATTGAAAGGAATAATTCTCGATCATACGTCACGTTATTTTGAAACATTGGGAAACTTTTATGGACGAAATAAATTCAAAAGAGTAATTCTGAAAGAAAATAAAAAAATAAATTTCAACGTTTTCTCAAATATGCAATTTCATAAATAATTAAATATATTAAAATTTGATTTGGGTATGCTTTTTGTCAAGCTGGGACACTTGGAAGGACAAGCATCCTTTATTTGAGAGCTAGAGGCAACCCCAAACAACAAGTGTCCTGAAAAATAAGCCTAGCAAGTAAGGTTCTAACTTAGTAGTGGAAGGGGTTTATTTTTTTTTTTTTGCGCTTGAGTTCGAGTTTTATTGTATATGTTTGTTACCTCCGTGGTGCCTTACTTACTCATTTGGCTTGTAAAATATTTAGTGGACCGTAAAGATTAGTCATTATATACGTAAACTGGTCTGATTTTCTTGTTATCTGTATAAATATTATATTAACAAAAATATCCAAATATTTTTCTTGCAAGTATCACTGAGCTCATCAAATCCTTCGGATCCAATCATATTAGCTAATAGAAAGCGTCTTTAATCTCGATATTTGTCATGAGGATTTTTTCTTTTCTTGCTTCATCAGATATAGTAATAGAAACTCAACCTTTAAATACCCATTGTGATCCCTATTTATAATCTCAATTACCTAATTAATTAATGGACTACATTTATACCATGGAACTTTCCAAATAGAGCAGAGAATGAGGGGAAATGATTATTAATTAATTCGAACTATAGCAGAACCAACCATTTATGTTTGGGGAACAAACAAACTGGAAAATAACACCAAATTAATTAATGGACTACATTTATACCATGGAACTTGCAAATAAAGCAGATAATGAGGGAAAATGATTATTAATTAATTCGAACTACAGCAGAACCAACCATTTATGTTTGGGTAACAAACAAACTGGAAAATATCACCCAACCAAATTGATAGGCCAACCAATTCATGGATTTCCTTTACACAGAACTATTTCACAATGAAACACAACAGAGAAGAGGATTAATTAACTTGTGGCTAATTAAGTTTGGTAGAGGTGACTAATTTAGTCTGTTAAAGAGAGTCAATGCATTGCTTGTTAACCGAGCAACTGTGGCAATGTAGCTCCTTGTAGTGTAATTTTCCCATTTATAGCTTTTCCAGCAAAGCCATCCATTTTCATGTATCTTCATCTGTCAAGGCAGCACTTACCCACATTTGTATGTTGCTCATTTCCATTTCAAAAATCTGGGCCTTCAAGTTCACTCACTGCTAGCAATGACTCCTGAAGCTCATCAACCAAGTATTTAATGGTTTCAACACAATCCTTTATGGCACCAGCTTCTCTAGGCCTTTAACTCGTGCCTTTCCAATAACTGTATGTTGCTCATTTCCATTTCAAAAATCTGGGCCTTCAAGTTCACTCACTGCTAGCAATGACTCCTGAAGCTCATCAACCGAGTATTTAATGGTTTCAACACAATCTTTTATGGCACCAGCTTCTCTAGGCCTTAACTCGTGCCTTTCCAATAACCTTTTCACCATGTTTAACGTCGATTCTGCGCATTTTACGGTCTCGAATAGGGATGCATTGGCTAATTGTGTACGTTTATCTTGAATGGTATTAGCACAACCTGACAGTGTCTTGTAACATAAGTCGGGATACCTTGTATTTCGCACCTGCTGAAGATGCCGTAACTGTAGAATTGGTATTGAGGGATGGTGTGTGTGGGATGGTAGGAAAAAGTTCCTAAACTTTTTTAAAGATACTGTGCCCTACAATTGTAAGGAACTGTGAACCTGTGGGGCAATGGGTCACGGTTCCTTGAATTATTGATTGGTAACAGAAACCGATAGGGAAAGACGAGATAGGGGCGGTGTGTGGGATGGTAGGAAAAAGTTCCTAATATAAACTATTTTAAAGATAATGTGCCCACAATTGCAAGGAACTGTGAACCTGTGGGCAGGGGGTCACAGTTCCTTGAATTATTGATTGGTAACAGAAACCGATTGGGAAAGACGAGACAGGGGCGGTGGTGATTCACATGCACTGAAATTGGATGTCACTTGTGAAAGAAGATTGAAACCTCCAGACTTGCAGAAGAGCTGCAGCTTTGTCTGTGGTCCTCTATTCACTATAGGCAAAGGAAGCTGATCATTTCCTTTGGTTATGATTGTGGTGGTGATTCACATGCACTGAAATTGGATTTGTCACTGTGAAAAAAGATTGAAACCTCAAGACTTGCAGAAGAGTTGCAGCTTTGTCAGGGGTCCTCTATTCACTATAGAAAAAGGAAGCAGATCATTTCTTTTTGTTATGATTGCCATGTATGAATATAATCCAGGAGCAAAGGATTATGAAAGTTTGCGAAGCTGTATCAAATCCAATAAACTTTTTGTCCAGTACATTATGCATGGACTCTCGAGGGAATTCAACGAAAAGATGAATACCAATGCCTGGAAACAGAATACCTGATTAGCAGATATATAGTCGAGTAGGAAAACATGTGGTAACCATGATTTTCTACTCCTGCCTACCATTTGGAAGTGCCACGGGAAAAATGAAAACGAATACATCACAAGCTCACAATGTCCAAGTTCTCAAGGCAGTGTTATGTTAACATCAGTAGGGGCAATTCAAACAGAATACCTGATTAGCAGATATATAGGCAAGTAGGAAAACATTTGGTAACCATGATTTTCTACTCCTGCCTGCCATTTGGAAGTGCCACAGGAAAAATGGAAACTAAAACATCACAAGCTCACAATGTCTAAGTTCTCAAGGCAGTGTTATGCTAACATCAGTAGGGGCAATTGCCTTCATTGGAGTCTCAGAAAAGAATGAAGTAGGTGTCACTCAGGAGATCTTATATCAAAGATTGTTATATTGAATTCATTTCTTTGGTGATCTTAAGATATTTTGATACTAATAAGTTATACTATGTAGAAAATACAGTTACATGAGAACAAAATAAATGCAATTTTCCCGGTCAATCTAACTGCAGCATCATAAATTTGTATTTATCCTTCAATTAACCAGTCGTTACTTGTCTATCCCTGGCATATGTGAAACATAAAATAATGAATGCATCATCAACTCAGATTTATAATCAAAGATCTCTTGTCCGGCAAATCATTAATCCAAAACTCTCCTCATTTAACTATAAATTTTCTGATGCACAAAAAGATACAAACCAAACTGAAACAATGCAGTCAGTCTGATTTTGCTCTATCAACCATGGACATGGGCAGTGGTTCTGAAGTTACAGGACATTGTTAAGAAGCTTTCTTTGGAGGAGACATGTTACTGATGAGGGAAATTACAGTGCCGATCGTGAACATCTGCACCAGCAATCCTGTTCAGACAAGAACAATAAGATTTGAAATATTTAGAATGTAAAGCCTCACAATTATGCACATAAGCATGGAGAATATGTAACTTACCGAGTAAAAGAACAGAAGTCTCAATAAGTTCAAACTTTTTTGTTTCCCATTCAGCTGGATTCTGAATAACCTGCCCAGTAAAAACCAAACAATATTCATTAGATATCAATTACAATTATTTTTTTCATATTTCAGGGGTAAATATCAGGGTTCTAGTGATTTCATTTCTCATTTAATTGGCTGGTAAACAAATAGTCTGCTCGTTTTTGCAGTCTGGCAATCCAATAATTGAAAGAAAATGTGAAATCAATTTATACATGATTTACAAGAATACAACGCCAAAGGCCCCTGGCATGATAAGCTCCATCATAATTACCTCTGGCATTCGCGAAAATAGATGTACAGCATTACATGAAGAACAACACCAAGGATGGACCAACCTTTTAACCTCTAATTTCAGCCAAATTCCATGAATCTAAGGTATTAGATTACATCGTAGTTCATTCATCCAAAAGACCACCTACTCTATAGCCAAAGTACCCCTGAATCACTAATTGTATATATAAGAGCATTATCATATTTTGGATCTATGGGTAAACAATCTTCAAGGAAAAGATATATTCCAACAACAATTCTTATAAAAAATAATCAAGCAATAATGAAACTAGCTTACCTCTAATGTTGAACTACTACTAACAGCACAAAATATAGATAGAAGCACTGCGATAGTTGACATGGCCAGGTAAAATCTCAAGAAACCTGCTCGGCTGCGCCTTCGGCCTTTAACAAAAGAAAATGAATGTGTTAAAAGATGCAAAACTTCCAGAAATGTTTTTAAGAAAAATGAAGTAGAAGAATCATGTAAGCAACCTAATTCCCCAATTAGAAGAGAAATCAACCCAATGGCAGAAGATGAAACGGCAAGTATGTTTGGATCCTTCCCCTTTGAGATTGGTAAAACCACATATAATAATTCTATCAATTGAAAGATACCCTGCATTATGAAGAAAAATCACATCAATGAAAAACAGAGGATCCTACATGTGAATCTAATCAACTTCATTAAGGATAAAGATGCTAATAAAAAAAAAGGGATTCTAGAACTACACTTGTAATTCTAATAAGTGTAAAGCACAAAAATCTTAAATGAATACCTAGAAGGTCTAGAAATATTGATGCTACAACAACAGGTTTGAAATCTATGAAAATCAAGTAATCTACAGAATAAAGTAACTTCAAAAATCACAAAGTTATTGATTGGACAGCTCAAGTAAATCTAAAACTATATTCAAACAAAACCTAATGAACCAGAATCAACTTCAGCTAGCATCTGAAGCTTGGAGTCCTTAAATGATAAACCAAGTTTAACTCTCACTTTCCTTGTGGAACAGATTACTAAAATGACTTTCCTTTTCCTAGAAACCCCTCCTTATATTGGTACACTCCGGACCCATGAAAACCCCACTAACCCATAGAATTACTAAAATGACTTTCCTTTTCCTAGAACCCCCTCCTTATATTGGTACACTCCAGACCCATGAAAAACCCACTAACCCATATAAAGTGGATTATGGTTCAAAGACTCGGTAGGTGGCTAACACAAATCTTTAGCAAATGCTAGAATTCAAACCTTAGACATGCATCCACCACTCAACTCCAGCGCATCCCTTTGCCACTAAACCATGCTTGTGTGATTTTTGAGATACTTAATATCTTTTCGATCAAATTTACCAATAAATCAGGTCAAGTCAAGTCAAGCAGTACATTTTATTCAAATACACACAGGGAAAAAAATCCTTTCCCTGCCAATAACTCAATGAGACACTTATTCATCAAACAATATGCAAGAAAATAAAAATAAAAATGATCAATTCAATTGTCTTTAATAAATTAACACTATCAAACTCATTAAAATTACCAAATCAATATGCTAATATACCTGAATAAAGATTAGAGCTTTGAGACGAGACTTCCCTTTAGCAACCTTTGTGTAACCTATGAGAAAAATTTAACAAAAACCCACATAAAAAAATCAAACGAAAAAACTCAAAAGAATGAAACTTTGAACAAAATGAAACCCTTTTAGCCATTGAAATAAAGATATATAGATTCAAAAACAAACCATAATATGATTGATTCAAATAGATGAAAAAGAAGAAAAGAAAAGCATACGTGAATCAACCACCATGCGGTAGGAGAAATCAGAACCGTCGGTTCCAGATGGCCTCCCGGCTTTTCTCTGCTGCATCTCTTCTTGATTCCTTGGTCACTGGCTGGCTGGGGATGGGGGAGAGTTTAATTGTTAGGAAATTAATAATTTTTGGGTTTTATTGAGATTTTGAAAAACCGAGAGAGGATTTGGTTTTCTTAAACAGTCCTAAACAATTTTAGATTTCTGATTTTGACCCCGTAAAATTTTACTATTTTGCTGAAGAGCTACCCAAGTTGAGTTAATTATAACTTAGTCTTTGTAATTTGTAAAAAATTGAAAAATCAGTTGATCATTGTTAATTTGTTTCTCCCCCCCTTAAAATACCTTTTTTTCCTAATAGATTTTAACCATCGGTTAATTTCTTTATATTAAATATGTGATGAACTATTGATCTATAGAAAAATAAACAACTGAGATTTTTAATGAAGGGGCATGTTCAAATTTTTAATCCATGGGAAAAAAAACATTTAATATTTAGGATGGAAACGTAGCTCCTATAAGAAGGGATTGGAATTATTCATGTACGAATTTGAACTCAAAATTCATGCCGGCACCTAACCTAAAACCCAGTGAGTTTGGATTTTGAATACCTTAACCGAACCCGATATGGTATCCATTTGGGTACCCATAACCCGACCCAATTTATAGAAATGTGCATGGATTCTCACCGTTGAATTCTTGAAGGGCAGGAGAAGCGGGACTCCTTTGCTGAGCTTATTTGTGATTCAAGCCTTCAAAAATTGATTTTCTGCCGGCAGCCCCGTGGAATAACCTTATCTGGAATAAATTTGAAATGAGAAAACAAAACAGAGGAAGAAACATTTAAAGACTAATACATATAGATCTCACATGAAACAAAGCGCAATGGATTTTGAATTTTTTCCATTAACAGATTAGGGATTGGGGATTTCAAGATTAGGGTTTCCTTTTCTTAGTGAACAAAGAGAACTTGAAAGAAAAATAATGAGCAAAACTTTTGGCTAATTGGAATGATTCTGTTATCGCAAGCACACAGAAACAAGAGAAAAAAGGGAAGAGCATCAAAGCTAAGAGAAGAGATTAGTTTCCGACCTGGCCAGAAGCAGTACAGGTGTTACAATTGACTTCCCCGGTCACTGTCAAAAATCAAAAGACAGAGAAGGTCGCCAGAGACGGTCAGACGGACGGCTTAAGAAGCGAGAAAGGGAGACACCCGAACCTTTCCATATACCAGCTATGGCATAAACGTAATTTTTTCAAACTTTGAAGACATTGTTAAACTCCAGGTCAGGCTCACGTAAAGCAGTATTCATAGACAACCCGAATTCCAAACCCGAACCATCCATAAAATTTCTTGAGGCAATATTTATTAGGTGCGAATAAAATTGTCATCCCTAACAATTTACGACTTCAATTGAGATTGCCATCATGGTTTCTGGTCGTTGAGAAATAGGGTGGTTGGGAATTGTTTGCGACGAGGAGTTGTATTATTATTTAAAATTTATTTTGTGTATATATATTATTTATATTTTTTAAGATACTTATAATTAAAAAATATTAGAATTTATTGAGTTTGGTTATTATAATTTTTGCAGTTTTTTTAAAATACATTAAAATTTCAAATAAAGTTTTTATATAGAAAAAACTTCATTTAAAATTTGTTAAAATTAATTTTTTTAACTCTTTAAAATCATTAACCAAATTAAATGTTAAATTAACAAACTACATAATAAGTCTTATAAAAACTATTTTTGTTAGATACTTAATGCAAAAATTATAAATAGAATTTTCAAGGAATAACTTAGAATTAAATTAATGTTTTATTAAATTTATATCGCAGTTTATAATCATAATATTTAATTAATATTATTGTTAAAAAGCACAACATCAATTACATATTGTCTACAACATTCAAAAACATATTATTTCACCAAATATTTTTATTGTCGTGTTACTTCATCATTTCTTTTTACTTTTTATATTAATTATCCAATTTGTTTGTCCTTAAAAGTAGAAATGGCAAATCAATGTCAATGACAAGAATACCAAATCAGTGGGTGGCGGAGATGGAGAGAGAGATGAACATGGGTGGTAGCAGCCGGAGGAAAGAGATTTTAATCTCTCTAGCTGTTCCACGAGTTAGAGTTAATTTCTTTTACATGGCCAAAAAATAATGTGCAAGCATTGCCAGTGCTTGCTACATCATTCAAGAAAACCTAGATTATATATGTAACGCTAAACAAATGCGTGAGCATATTAAAATAAATCAAGAAACATATACAAATGCGGGAGTTAGATAATATTCAAGATAAAATTGAAGAGGCCTTAGAGAAACAACTACTAAATTGAAAGAAGACGCTTGGGTTTGGGTGGATTGAAAATTAGGACTCATTCAAACAGTTGTTATAAATTCAGGGACTAAAGTGAACAAAAAAGATTGCTTGTGCAAACCACACGGCCATGAGTGGAAAGCGTCGTCTCGCTTTGGAATTTCTTCTCCTACAAAAACACTCTTTTCTGGTGCCGTTGAAATCATCACGTTGCTTTCATTCTTTCACAGTGGGGCGTGTCTAAAACGAAGGGAGCATTTTTTCTTCTTTTTTCTCTCTCCTTCCCTTGTTTTCCCACGCATGAAATCTCTTCTCCTGGATTAAAAAGGACTGGATTTTCTATATATATATATATTTCAAACTGGCTTCACCCACTTATCACTAAGTTGTACTAGTAATTATGAAATCAATAAGCTCCACCGTAGAGGTTTCTACGAGCAAAAAGCAACCCAGCATAACAAGGGTTTGAAAAGTTATCAAAAAATTACAAAGGGCAAGCTCCATGCCCACTGCTAAATGAACAACCAAAAAAGAGAAGCTGAAATGTTTAGATATATGTCATGTGATATACCTATTCAGCCCAGAGAGCTTTCATTGCTTGATGGGAGTCTTATGCATGTTTGAACAACTTCATGCTTAGCCAATGAGAATACACAGCAATGATCAGGATAGGAAGTGTCAAGGGTACCAAGAAGCAGTAATACCTGTTATTATAAAATAAAATAATACCAACTTAGATTTTAGCCAAAAAAAAAAGAGCCAAACGCAGCAGCTAAATAAAAATCACCTGTCGTTTTGAATAGCAGAGATGATAGGACTGTCCGATAATGGAGGAAGCTTTGATATTACTGCCGCGGATAGAAATCCCACAAAAGAAACGGAACCGATCAAGACAAGCAACCATCCACTAAACGTTGCCGTTTTGCTGAATTCCATTCGATAAGAAAACCATTGCTCTCTTTGAAACCAGATTTGGGATCAATTGTGTAGAGCGAGGAGGAGCGCAATGGAGACGGCTGGGGAGGGATAATTTCAGAAAATACAAAGGTAAAATTTGTCATTCGAGTCGGGTATGAAGGAAAACAAATCGGAACTCATAGCTACAAATGTGTCAATGCTTCTATTGCTAGATTTACCATTGCGAATACTTTTGCGATGGATTTTCCTAAATTATAACTACAGAAATCCTGTCACTAACATAATATATAAATCAATCCATTTGCATTAATTCATAAATCTTCATGGACGATTTAGTGGGGAAAAAATAAAGGAACTAAAAACATCAAACAAGCACAAATCCACCTACACCTTCTAGGTAACTTCATTAAAAAAATTCAAATTTTTCAAGGTAATTTAGCAATTTCATGACAAAAATCAAGCACCCATAAAAGAAAATCACTTTTAATCACAAAAATATTAACCATTTTTGCAAGAGTAAAGATTCAGCGAGGTCCCAGAAAATCGTAAAAGACAAAACCAAAGTGAATAACGTTAAAGAAAAGGAAGACGAAGGGAGAGGGACATACCTTGGGTTGCTGGCGGGTTGGCCGTTAGATTTTGGGAAGTTTGGTCGGCGGCGGGAAGGAGGTTGTTCGAGTTGAAAGAGGATAGAAAGAATGTCTGATCTCCTCTTTAGATCTGCTGTTTTGCAACTGTTTTTAAGGGAAAACTACATATTAATCCAGACATTTATCATGAGTTTCACGTATCAGTCCCTGGCTTATTATTATTGTTGTTATTTGCTAGAAGAGGCATGACCGATGATCATAAATTCATAGTTATTAAATTTGGACAGCCTTTGCATGTTGATTCATTGATAAAACTGGGTCAAGTTTTCTTTTAGACCAAGATGGATGTTGATCTAGTTAAACATGAGTAATTTAGTCGATCAATCATTAACTTGATTGATCTAGAGTGTTTGAATAGGTTTTGTGCTGCTTCAGGACAAAAAGTTGGTGCAAATAACTTCTCAAAAAATACTTCCGAGGTGTTAGCTAGATCACTCAGTCGCATTGGTGGTTTTACTGCGACAAAAGAACCTCGGAAAGTATTTGGGCCGAACTTAGGCTTAAGATTTGCCCTAATAGCTAGGCTGTGCTGGGTCAGGTCCTGGAAAAATTATTGGGTCTGACTAAGTTCTTAAAAGAATGAGTTTTGCTCCAATTATAAAATAATGTTGAAATGGTAAAAAATGCCATAATTAATCTGTGGGTTGGGGAAACAAGGCTGATAACAAAGGAACAACACCCTAGATAAAAAGAATTGGCACCTATTATGCTCAAAAGTGTCCAGCGGTAATGGAAAAATACAATAAAAAGATAAAAATTCATATACTAATTTACTAAAAAAGATGAGAATATATTTTCTTAATTACATTTCTCTTATTGTCTCTTTTATCTTATGGTGTAAATAGTAATAATTATAATTTGAGCATTGTAGAATTTCTTAGAGTAATGGGTTTATAAAAAAATAAAAATAAAACCAAAAAAATAAAATTTGAACACCATCTATAGATAGAGCGATAAAAACATTGAGATTGATCATGTTATGTTACACCAATCTTTTGATCAATATACCCATTAATATTTTTTATGTTCTATCTTTGAGCTTTCAGGTCGATCGAGGGACAAGTGAAAATCACTTGCAATTCTAATTAAGCTCTCAAGTACGATCAATATTAACGCTTGCTAGCTATTGTTCTTGCTTTCCTGATGCTTGCTAGCTATGGAAACTTCCTTTTCATGATTAAACTATTAAAGAAGATATTTGGCTTGCCCTACAATCTAGAGAGCATGCACATGTTCATTCATATTTTTTTTTTTTATGGATCTTTGATCATCAGAACGCCCTACAATCTAGAAAGCATGCACATGTTCATTCATATTTTTTTGTTTTTTATGGATCTTTGATCATCAGAACTGTTCGTGTAATATATAGTTGAATAAAATTATTTCTTCCTTTTGAAGGAACTTTTACTTCCACTGTACTTAAGAAGTATCATAAATAAATATATACAACAAAGAATAATTAATGTTTATTCTTCTTTTTTATCATTACAACCTTTACAAAAACTTGGGTTATACATGTAATTCAAAGCTTAATTAAATCACATCAAGCGGAGCAGCTGCTAAAGCATTGACAAAATAAGAATTAATTTATTTACAAAGATTTGCATTATGGCAAATAGTTTCATAGTTAATTAACGTGCGGTTAAGCAAGTGGATCAAATAAAGTCTTATTTACGACTATAATTCAAGCTGATTTCGTGGCATACGTTTTCTCTTGCAAGCGTAGCATGTCTTCTCTTCGTAATAATCACCGATCTGCTTTAATTGGCCTGCTTATTATTCTATGCATTACGTAATTGACCAAGAAAGAGGGCAATCCTACGCACTTTTGTCAAGGGTTTATTTTTTTTATAATAACTTCTGTCAAGGTTGCAACGATAACAAAGAAGATAATATGATAATTATCGTAGATTATGAACTTCCTTCTTGGAGGATTTGATCACAATATGTTGTGAAATCTGATGCTATATGTAGTTAAATTATTGTGCCACCCTACCAACACTGTACTGAGGATTTTTTATTTTTATTTATATGAATGTTTGATTTAGAAAGATCTGATTAAGAAAAATATTTTAATGAATGAAATCTAAACTAAAAATAATCTGTCTTATTCAATATTTGTATTAAATTCAGTTCAGCTAGATAGATGGATCTAGAATCTAGTTTAATCTAAATTTTTAAAAAATAAAATAAAAATTAATTTGATATGACTTTATCTAATCAATAGATCAATTTATAACCTAATCTTGATTAGAACTTTATTTAACTTTTAAAAAAATAATGTCAGATTGAAATAATATCTTTTTAATTACTTAATTAATCATCTAAGTCATTAATTGAGTTGTTGAGTCATCATACTGTACTGTATGACTTTAATAACATTGCTATTTAACAAATAGTTAACTCATGTCTTGTCTCTTGCCTCTTGCTTTACTTTAATTGATCTGTATGCAGAAATAGTTATTTACGCAAAAGGATTATTAATTTTCGTTTGTGCACTAAGCAAAGACAACATGGAGTGGAGTACTCAATATGTTATCTTGCATTTTCATATATATGGAATATTACTCTGCACTTTCAAATAATCAAGAGACTCCCTGCTAACAAGCTATTATATATGACCCCTAAGAGCCTCACGATCCAAATCAGAAAAAATGAGACGAAACACAATCATGTCAACCAAGGTTAGGCTATTTGCAACATTGATATTCTTCTCTTCAATGCTCTCATTTGCAGCATCAAAGAGCACCGAAGCCAACATAACTTGGTGGTGCAACCACACACCACACCCTTCAACATGCATGTACCACATGAGCCATAGCCACCATCATTTTTCTCTCAAACATAGGTCCCAATTTCGGATAATGTCTATCCAATTAGCCCTTCAGAGCGCCCTCATTGCACAATGTCAGGTCTCACAATTCGAACAGAATTGTGAGAACCAGAACCAAAAAGCTGTATGGTCAGATTGTTTAAAACTTCACTCTAATACCATTCTTCAACTTAACCGCACCCTAATTGGTTTAGAAAAGAAGAGGCCTCCGTGTACAGATCTTGATGCACAAACATGGCTAAGCACGGCTCTAACCAACATCCAAACATGCCGAACCGGGTCCTTGGACCTTAAAGTGACAGATTTTACGATGCCAGCCGCGTCGAAAAACTTGTCTGAGCTCATTAGCAATACTCTGGCTATCAATGGGGTTTCGCTTGCAACTGAAGATAATAACACACAAGGGTACTTTCCTAGCTGGTTCTCGGGGCAAAACAGACGGCTATTGCAATCCACATCAATAGCAGCAAAGGCGAATCTAGTTGTGTCAAAAAATGGTTTTGGGAATTTTAGGACTATTCAGGCAGCTATTGATGCAGCCTCAAAGAGGATGTCCAGAACTAGGTTTATTATATATGTGAAAAGAGGAGTTTACAGGGAAAATATTGAAGTTAGAGTTAACAGCAACAATATTTGGCTGGTTGGAGATGGATTGAGACGTACTATAATTACAAGTAGCCGGAGTGTTGGGGCTGGTTATACAACTTATAGTTCTGCAACAGCTGGTAAGAAATTATATCTTTTCTTGCTTAAATTTATCCATGATAATTGCTATCCGCTTTCCTTCTCTATCAAGTTAATTTTAGTTTTAACATACGATCAAATATATTTTCGAGGACCAATAATTTTGATTGAGATGAATAGAAAGGGAGAAGAATGAAGCTTTGTTGGTATAGGAATATTTAGGAGAAGAATTCATGGAGTTAATAATTAAATAGGCAATTGCTGAATTGTTCATGTACGTATAATGTTTTAATGCTTCGCTCTCTTCCCTTAAAAGCTACGATTTCATAATAAAGAATGGATGTAGTGATTATATATATTTTAGCTAGAGATGTCTTGATTCTCGATCAAATATCCATGATTTTGCCTTTTTTTAGCTTTTAATTCTAACAAGAACCATTACAAGTAATTCTATATATTTTTCGGCAATTTTAATTGTTTGAAATGATGTTAGACATGATTTTAATTATAATATGATCCAAGTTTTTCAGTACCTTTAACTGGAGTGATAACTTATGGTTGTGCTCCATTTACGTGTCCACTAAGCTAAAGAAATAAGCCTAATTTACCTAAATATTGATTTGTAGGTATTGATGGCCTTCGCTTTGTGGCTCGTGGCATTACCTTCGTAAACACGGCAGGTCCGCTAAAGGGTCAAGCAGTTGCGCTCCGATCAGCCTCAGATCTCTCAGTTTTCTATCGATGTTCCTTTCAAGGATATCAAGACACCCTTTTTGTCCACTCTCAAAGGCAATTCTATAGAGAATGCTACATCTTTGGCACCATAGACTTCATTTTTGGTAATGCAGCAGTCGTGTTCCAAAATTCTATTATTTACGTGAGGAAGCCTTTGAAGGGTCAAGCAAATATGATAACAGCACAAGGCCGTAATGACCCTTTCCAAAACACCGGAATTTCTATCCATAATTCGCAAATTCTACCAGCACGTGACTTGAAGCCGGTAGTTCAAGCATTTCAAACGTACTTGGGGAGGCCATGGATGCAATATTCTAGGACTGTTATTCTTCAAACTTACATTGATAGTTTTATTAATCCATCAGGTTGGTCACCATGGCTACGTACCAGTAACTTTGCTCAAGACACATTGTATTATGGAGAGTATAAAAATTTTGGGCCTGGCTCTTCAACCAAAAGGAGGGTTGCTTGGAAAGGGTATCATGTGATAACTAGCCCTGGTGTGGCCTCACGTTTCACCGTTAGAAACCTCATCGCTGGAGATTCATGGTTGCCAGCAACCAAAGTCCCATTTACTTCTGGCCTTTGACCATCTATGCTGTGGTATTTGTCACTGTATTTATTTTGTAATTCAATTTTTTTTTTGTACATTTTAACACACTGAATGTACAAGTTAATTTATAAATTTTATTTATTTGACTGGAGCAACTAGAAAAGAAAATACATTTTTTGTTTTTCTTTGGTGAATGTGTCAAATTTTATTAAAGAAAATAAAGTACAATTTTTTTTTGGATATAAAGTGGACGTACATGGTATCGTAACAATTATTTCTTGGATTGGGAATGGTGTGGAAGAAAAAGTGTAGGAAGAAAGAGTAAGAATCATCATCTAGTATTTTTGTCATTAAAAATTCTAATTGATCTTTAAATTCAGATAAAAAAATTAATTATGTAAAGAAAAGTTATTAACACCTCTAATACGCTTTAGTTAAGGTAAACTGCATTGTTTATTTATCTGATATGAATTGAGATATTATTATTTTTTCTAATCATTGATTTATTTATGGCTGAAAAAAAATTCTTTCAGATAAAAATATCCTTATCTTATCAAGTAAAAAATATAACCATTCTAATGTCAATATAAAAACAAAATGAACTATCTTTTCATCTAATATTAAGAATATGTCTTTAGTATAAGTTCTAGTCTTGGATATTAGAAGAAAACAAAATAATATTTTGGTATTTTTTGAAATATAGGCTAGTTTTAATGGCTTTAATAAACTAGTTATTTCCAAAAAAAAAAAATGCACACAAATTAAAACTATTTTTTTTTATGAAGATAAATCTATTTTCTAGACTTGGTCATATGCAAATTAAAATAGAAATTGTATTTTTGAAGGAAAGATTTTTTTTTATATATAGGAAGGAATCAATTTGTTTAATACTAAAAAGTGTCTTGCTTGCAGGTCGCAATCTCAAATATCAAATATAAAAAGATGAAAAAAAATTAGAAACTCAAAATTAATTGTAAAATTGTCATCAGACCTTGGAAATACAGGATATCAATTTATAAAAAAATTATTTGCAATTTGATATCAACTAAAAGTCAAGCAAACACCAAATACAAACATAAACCATGAATTAAAAAAACAATCACACTCCAAAAAGTAAACACATCATCCACCATAAATTATCAAATCAAAAACAAAAATTAGTTCAAACTGATATATCCAAATAATCCAAATATGTTACAAAAACAATTAACATATCTCAAATTCCACAACATTATGGCAATTTATCAAAAAATAATTTAAGATCATAAATCGACCTTTCAAGGTGTTTAGCATATCTAGGAGCTGCTATAATTGGGTCAAAAAGGTCGTTGGAGCAATGACAGTGTGTGTACCATGCACTACCGCCACTGCAGACGCATGAATTCACATGTCGATGCTGCTAGAGGATGGTGGACTACTGGATTTAAAGCCCCACGATCTCCTCTTCACTCCTACGCCAATGATGTTCCTCCACGCCCTCCAACTAGTAAGATTTGACCTTTCAAAGTTTCTGTCTCATTTTCCTTTCTTTCCCCTGGGTTAGGGGTAATGATCACCATTATCTACAAAAAATAATTTACACAAGTGGTTTGTTTTTGCTTTTCCTGTTTTTCCCCTCCAAACAGATCTACCTTTATTTTGGTTTCACTTTCTTCTTCTCTATTTCAGGTAGCTGGCAATAAGACTAAAAGGCTGCTGGTGTGATTATGTTGTCATTAACGACAGTGATGGGCTATGGTGTTGATGACTATAATTGGAATAAAAAGAGAAGGTTGTTGGAAATATGGGTGTTGTCATGTATGGCTGTTGCTAGAGGTTAGTTGAAAAAAGATGAAGAAGTTGGTTTTTTTTTAGGGAAACCCATTATCACTGATGGTGTTGAACCTGAAAAGGTTGTGAGCAATTACTCAAATAGAGAAGAAAAGTAATGGTCAATTTTTTAGGTTGGGAGATAAAGGAGAGATCAGGGGCTGGTGTTTTAATTATGGATCAATGGTTGATAATAGATGAAGAGGCTAGGTGTTGATGTTTGGAAGTGAGGCTTTGATGTTAGGTTGTTTAAGGTTCAATGTCTATGTTAATAGAGGTTATTATTATCGTTTGAATGATAGGAAGGGAAGAAAAGAGGTTGAGAGACACTAGTCAAAGGATGTTGGTTTTAGGTGCATGACTTGTGAATAGGTGGTCTAGAAAAGATGAAGGGACTAAGGTTGGGTGGTTTTTTTATATGGGTAATGTTGTGGCTGCATGATGAAGATTATAGGGGTTGTGTTATAGGGATCTGAATGTTTTCAAATGATGCTGAATGGATTATATGGTGGAGGAGAGATCAGGAGAAAAAAAAAGTACAGTGACAGCTGGTTTGGTAAAGATAGACCTAGTGTTTTTTTAAGGAAAAAAAAAAGCTTGTCTAGCTGGAGGAGAAGAGTTATAAATGGTGTTGGTAAATTCATGTAGTTGGTGGCGGCAATGATGGTAAAGGCACGATAGAGGAAGAGAGAAAAGTTGGTTGGTGAAAACTGAGGGAAATGGTTATTTTTTTTGCTAACTGTATACTTGAATTTCTTATTTTTTTAATGCCTAAAATCCACCCATAAAAGATGCAAGAGGGGTATTTTGTCTTTATTGGGGACAAATCTTGGTCATTGAGTCAAATGGGTAAGATCTCAATCATTAGCTCAAATGTGCTATAATGGTTTATGAAAAATGACTACTAAAGGCTGGTTGGGCTGGCTACTTAGAAGCGCTGTCGCAGCAACTGTACGAGCAACTAGTTAGCAAGACCAACTCTAGGGTGTAGTACAATGTCAGACCATTATCATGGTATAGAGTTTGTTAGGTTTGGTTAAAAGACAAAGCATTAAGGGTGTGTTTGGGAATGTGGTGCAAACGGAGTTCCAAAAAATTTTGATTTTTTTGTTAAAATATTTTTTTTATGTTTTTAGATCGTTCTGATGTGTTGATTTCAAAAATTATTTTAAAAAGTAAAAAAAAAATTATTTTGATATATTTTTAAACAAAAAACACTTTGAACCACAACTAGGCGACTTGTTATCTGATTTTTTTTATTGTCAAAACTGTGTTGTTTTGGCTTTAAGGTTTTAATTTAGGGATTTAGTCAAAATTTAATTTAGTTCTTTAGCTTTTTATTTCTTTCAATTGCATCTCTAATTGACCTTGCACTTCTAATTTTATGTAATTTTACCCTTACCGAACTTCAATATCAACCTTAAATTTTAGTATCTTTTTCATTTTAGTCCTTGGTCTTGGATTTTAGGGAAAAGTGTTCGGATGCAAGATTTTGATATCAAATTAAAAATAATATAATGCTAAAACAAGATACTAGTCATTTTTTTTATTTATATAATTAGAGCAACATTTAGCAGTGTACCACACAAGATCAAATTTATATGCATGAATATTTAGGAATATAGATTCACTGCACCAATCAATTAAATATTAATTTGAACCATATCTGCATAAAATCATTATCATGTTAATAAAAAAAAAATTATCATAGATTATGGCCTGTCCAACTCTAACCCAAAAATACCTCCCTCGTAAAAATGCATATGTTGTCTAAAGTAGTGGGCTTAGTCTACATGGAGAACATGGAATAAATAATCAACCATTAATTTATTTTTTCCGAACCAGTTTCTATCAAAATTAATTTTTTTTTAATGATTTTAAGAGTACATTCTTACATCAATTCAGTGTATTAACTAAGTGAATAAATCTTCTTAGGTTTTTATCTTAAAACTTGAATTCAGAGGGGAAGCAAATCCCATTAACTACAAAATTTATCCCTTCATGTTTTTCTTGCATGATTTTCAATAAAAAAATTTAAAAAAAAAATCAATGAGACAGCTGCTTGTTCCGTGCTCGATTTCGTTATGACTTTTGAGATAGTGATACCTCACAAGGTCAAGCTTTTTGAATCTTCAATTATTTTGGCACGAAAGTAAGGAATTTAGTTATCCTAACTTTGATAATATAATGTCTAACCAGTACTCTCCATCGAGAAGCTCGCGAAGCTGGCGCCACACCTGCCTCAAAGTACTCGGCTACATGTTTTGCACAAATCTCCCTTGTTGTTTACTTACAGCCTTGGATTACTCATCATATCTCATTCCAAAAAAAAAAAAAATCACTGTTGGGAAATTTTATGATGTTCGTATCATAATTACATGATATTTATAGCATGGAAAAGAGATATACATGCACAAAAAAGAGAGAAAAATATTTAAAAATATTTTTTTTTAACAGTAGAGAGAATTCTTATCGTTTTTTTTCAAGAAAACCAGATATGATTTTCTCTCTTTTTTATATTCATGCTTCTCTTATGAGATATGCATCTAGAAGTAGCAATCATGCCCATAGATGCATGTAGTTAGATCTGTGTCAATAAGTTGATTGATATTATTGTTTTCCACAAAAAAAAAGGTTTTATATTCAAATATTTTCTTTATATATATAAAACAAAACAATGGATAGACCCGTAACTGGGTTCAATGGTTGCGTTCTTCGTTCTAATAGTTCATGGAGGTTTAGAGATAATTTCTCATGAGCAAAGGTGATTAGTACAATATTAGCTGATTGGCTCAACCTGTGGGATGTCATGGCCAAAAATAGAATTTGTTAACTTGATAAATATATAAAAAATGAGAAAAGAAGTGGAAGATGACTATATTTTTATTTTATTTACATAATTAAAGGTATGAAAATCATTGAATACTCATTCAATTATTCAGATTGGTTCATTAACTACATTCGAAATTATTTTTTGAATAATAAGTTACACTCCAGATATAAATCTGAAAGATTTCCGGAAAAAAAACTGATATAATCATTATATTTATAAATCCAATCCAATATTTAAAATTTGTAATTAAATCCCGCAATTTACCGTCTATAATTAAGTACTTGGCCATCTATTTGCATGGAGTCTTAGCAAGATTTGTTTACATGCCATTGAATCAATCACATTATGTATATGCCTTTGATTTATCTCTATAACGCGTTAACTGGTGTAGCTGCCAGTTAAACTATAGGAGTTCAAGGTCAACAACAACATGCAAAAGTGAAGCATGTTACATTCTTCAAGAGA